ACTGCCGTAATAAATACCCAACAGCCTGGCTGTCCAAGGTGAAAGAGGTAAAACAGCAGCTCATTGGAGGGGTTTTAAATGATTTGTCCAGCCACACAGACCCCCTGACAATCCAGAGGGGCATAAAAGCCCATCAAACCTAACAGGGTTACTCTTTTGGAGTAACCTCCCATGGTGACACATTCTCACACTCCCCCTAACATCTTCTCTTACTCAGCCTGCTCTAATATCTGTGTGATTAAGATAGCCAGAGGCAGCTTCCTTTTATAGCCACTTTCCACAGGAGCAGTTGTGCCTTCCAGCTCATTTAGTGGGTGGTTAACCAGAAAATAGAGGTAGCTGAATTTCTTATTGGTCTTGGCTCTGAGATAACAGAACCAAAATTAAACATGAACCAAAGTCTCTGGCCTCCACCGCATTAAATGTAGGTAACACAGGTTTTCCTGTAAGTGCAGAGTCACCGAGGTATGACCTACCAAAGTCACCTACAGAGTTTCAAAATATAAGTGACCATACCTGAATCTTCTCTTTTTCCTCCCTAAGGCATGTCAGCAACTCCACAAGGAGAGGCCCAGACATGTATATTGTACATTTTTTAAAGCCCCCAAAATAATTCTGAAATTTTCCGCATATCAAGATGGCCTGAATGACTCTTGGAAAAAGTTCAGAATATAAGATGGAGGATATCATCCTGGGATGAGCTGTGAAATTCCTGGTTGGAAAGTTTTAGAACCCCATCTATAATGGATTCGGTTATGGTTCCAAAGGCCATGTAAGAACCAGCACCAGGATGTCTGCATAAGAATCACTTAGAGCTTATCAAACTACAAAATAATGGTAGGTAAGAGCTAGGAATCCGGATTTTAACAGACTTCTCAGGTAATTCTGATGTGCAGTCAGGTTTGGGACTGTATATATATAGTACTCAAAATACCATGTTAGAGCCCTTTATGCATTCACTCATTCATTCAACAAACATTTACTGTGTACTTACTGTGTGCCAAGCACCAAAGATTAAATAATGAATACAACTCAATACTTGCCCTTGAGAGGTTCACAAGTCTAATGAGGGATGCCAATCCTTTTGACATGGACCTTGTAACACAGTGTGGCAAGTACCTGCACAGACTATGTGCAAACGGCTGTGGAGAGAAATTATTTAATTCTACCTAGTGAACCAAGGATAGGCTTCACAAAAAAAAAAAAAAAAGGTGACATTGGAGCTAAGCCTTGAGGAGAAGCGAGGAGTTTGCCAGTTGAAGAGGGAAGGGAAGTTCCAGGTAGAGGTCCAGAGAATGAAAGTGCATGGCATGTCTGGTGACAAGCATGGCCAGAGCAGAGGGAGTACGGGCAAAGTGGACAATGGCTGGGGGGACAGGCGAGAATCAAATGGGGAAGGGTGTGGTTTCATGCTGAGGGGGTCATCTCTTGTTTTTAAGCATGATAATATGATCAGATCTTTATTTTAGATAATTTTGGTGTCAGTGTGCATAGGAGAGAGATATAGACAAAAAAATTAATTAGGATGATATGAGAGATGAGGAGGTCCTAAAATGGGAAAGTGGCCATGGGAATAGATTTGAAAGATATTCCATAGGTAGAATCTACAGAATTAGTAAGTGTTGCTTGGGAAAAAAAAAACCCCACATATACATATACATACACACACAAAAACAAGAACAACCCAAAAAAAAAAAAACCTATTACAGAAAGATGTCCTTTCTCAGTACATCTTTGTCTCTTCTCTGCTTCATTCTCACCCGATCTTGTCATCTCACTCTGAAGAAAGTATCATTTGCCCCCAGTCCTCTCACAATTCATGAAAAATGAAACCAAATTTCCACTGTCCCAATCCTTTCAAATGAGCTTAGGAATGAAGACTGTCGACTGCTGTCTACTGAGACGGGAAGGCCCTTAAGTGATCCTCTTTAGCCCTACAACCTCCTTGTTGTACACAATGAAGAAATGAGGCTCAGAAAAATAGGTGAATTTCCATCATCACACAAATGGCTTTAAAAAAATACGTACTATATCTTCTGTTAGTACCATTTGAACCTTCCAAAATGCATGACATTCACCACCTGTGTAGTGCTCCTGTCTGCCTTTCTTTAAAGATTCTAAGATAAGCTAAAATCTATTATTATCTCTGTTCTCTGCTCTTTTTGATAATCGAGAAATGCCATGGTTTCTCTCAACTGAAAAGGAGTCCAATGGACATCTAGTGGTTCACTTAGATAATTGAATCTTTAATAGTATTATCTATCACTGTATTTAGTGTGTTAAATTTGATTAGCATATTAACTAATTGCATTATATTAGTGGTCTCAACCCTTTCAGATCTGATTATCTGTTTGTATAGCTATTTTGAATCACCCTCCTCTTCTATCCTGAAATGAAATTGATATAAAATACAATCTACACAAGTAATTGCAAAATTTCAATACAGTGCCCTTTTATTTTCCTTTTACTTTTATAGAAAATAAAAGGAAATTAATTGCTAATAAAATAATACATTTCTCATATTTAAGTACTTGGCATGGTCATACCTGAAAACATGATGTAGCCAGATGCTTATACTTATATGTGGAATTTCTGTGAATACAACACTTGCAAATGTAGTCAGATACAAGTGTGTGAAGTCAACAACTACAATATTGTGTAATGTTGTTTTCTGAAATGGTGACCAACTTTTAGTAAAATTTAGAACAAAACAAAGTACAATCTTTCCCTTGTTTTATACAGCATTTTTAGAAAATTACTAAAAATAATTTGTGACAGATGTAAAGCAGAATTGGAGTCTAGGTTCTGTTCAATACAGTTTTTTCACTACAAGAATGTCTGCTAAGATACTAAAAGCCATAAGTGAGAATACCACTTCTGTGAAGATAGAGTAGATGTACTTTTCCATATTCCTCCTGATAAGTGAAAATAGAAATCCTGAACCTTATATATAAAACAAGCATAAAGCTACTTTGAAAGGTGGAGAGAAGAAAAGGATACCAATTAAAGCCCTTGAAACCTAAAGAATGACATGGTGGTAAGCTATCTGGGTTTTCCTTTTGCCTCATATATCCCAGACTGGATGCTGGAGTAGCTGGCAACATGGAAATGCCAGTAAGTGCAGAAAATAAAGTCTCAACAAAAGCCTGCTCTCTCTAGCTAAAGGAATGGGAAATGAGAAAGCTAGCAAACCAGAAACCTTTAGATCAGGAGTTTGAGACCAGCCTGACCAACATGGTAAAACCCCATCTCTACTAAAAAAAAATACAGAAAATTAGCCAGGTGTGGTGGTGGGTGCCTGTAATCCCAGCTACTCGGGAGGCTGAGGCAGGAGAATCACTTGAGCTTGGGAGACTGATGCTGCAGTGAGTCGAGATCATGCCATTGCACTCCGGCCTGGGCAACAAGAGTTAAACTCCGTCTCAAAAAAAAAAAAAAAAAAAAAAAAGAATATAGCCACTTTACTGCATTCAAACATCACAGAAAAAACAACAACAAACAAACAAACAAACAAACAAAAAACTATAATCCCACCTCAGTTCATACCAGCAAAGGCCAAGTGGGGAACCAAGACTTCCACTCTCACTAGACTATAATGAAGTACCCCAAACACCTCATGGGAGTATAGAGCCAGAGAAATCCACACCAAAACAGATCTTGGTCAAAGGTCTGAAAACTAAAGACAAAAAAGTCTTGAAAGCAGCAAGAGACAAATGACAACTTACCTATAGAAGAAAAAAATTAAAATCACAGTGGATTTCTCATCAGAAACCATGGAAACTACAAGAAACTGGCACAACATTTTTCCAGTGCTGGAAGAAAATAACTGTCAACCCAGAATGCTTTATGCAGCAAAAATATCATTTAGAAGTGAAGAAAGATCAAAAAATTCTCAAATGAAGGAAAATAAAGATAATTTGTCACCAGCAGACCTACACTAAAAGAATGAATAAATGAAGATTTATAAATAGAAAGGAAGTGGTTAAAGAAGTTTCTTAAAATATTAGAGAAATTGAAAGCTACTCGGGAGGCCGAGGCAGGGGAATCACTTGAACCTGGGAGGTGGAGGTTGCAGTGAGGAGATATCACGCCACTGCACTCCAGCCTGGTGACAAAGCAAGACTCTGTTGAAAGAAAGAGAGAATGAGAGAAAGAGAGAGAGGGAGGGAGGGAGGGAGGAAGAAAGGAAGGAGAGAGAGAAAGAGAGAGAGCAAGAGGGAGAGAAGGAGGGAGAGAAGGAGGGAGAGAAGGAGAGAGAGAGAGAGATATAGAGAAGAAAGAAAAAAGGAAAAGAAAAGAAAAAGGAAGAAAGAGGGAGAGGGAGAGGAAGAAAAGAAAAAGGAACAAAGAAAGAAGAAAAAGGAAAAGAACACAGTAAGCAAAAATATAGGTAGATACAATAGATCTTCCTTATCCTCTTGAGCCTTCTGAATTATGTTGACAGTTGGAGCAAAAATTGTAATAATGTTTAATATGGTCTTGAATGTATGTAGAGAAAATATTTAAGATAATTTTGTTATAAATAGGGAAGGGAAAGGGACATAAAAAGAGGTAAGCCTCCTACACTTCATGTGAAACTTGTAAAACGATGACACTAACAGACATTTGTGTGTGTGATAAGATGTATGTGTGTGTTGGGGTGAGTGGGTATGAGGTAATACCTAAAGCAACTACTAAGACTCAAAACATTATAGACTAATCGACTCAAAACACTATTGGAAAATCAAAGTGAAATTTTACAAAATGTTCAAGCAGCCTGCATTTTGAACAGGAAAAAGGGAAAAGAAAATTGAGAAATAAAAGTTAGAGAGAAAATACAGCAAAATATATAATGGCAGACTTAAACTTTAATGTATCAATAATCATATTAAATGCAAATAATATGGTTTAAAATAAATGGTTAAGAATAAAAGGATGGAGGTGCTGGAGCTGTTGCCACCAAGTCCGGATCTCATTGCTGCGTGCCCCCAGTGCTTGCCTGACATGCATTCCCAATTCCTTTTGGTTCCAAGTCCAGTGTTGCAACTCTCAAGGATCAGCTGATTCATAATCTTCTAAAACAACAACAGACCCCCCCCCCCATTAAGATTACATTTGTTGGGGTTAGTGCTGTTGGCATGGTCTGTGCCATCAGTATCTTGATGAAGGACTTGGCAGATGAACTTGCTCTTGTTGATGTCATGGAAGACAAATTGAAGGGAGAGATGACGGATCTCCAACATGGCAGCCTTTTCCTTAGAACACCAAAGATTATCTCTGGCAAAGACCATAATGTAATTGCAAACTCCAAGCTGGTCAGTATCACGTCTGGGGCACGTCAGCAAGAGGGAGAAAGCCATCTTAATTTGGACCAGCATAACATGAACATCTTTAAATTCATCATTCCTAATGTTGTAAAATACAGCCCGAACTGCAAGTTGCTTATTGTTTCAAATCCAGCGGATATCTTGACCTATGTGACTTGGAAGATAAGTGGCTTTCCCAAAAAACGTGTTATTGGAAGTGGTTGCAATCTGGATTCAGCCCAATTCCGTTACCTGATGGGGGAAAGCTGGGAGTTCACCCATTAAGCTGTCATGGGCGGGTCCTTGGGGAACATGGAGATCCTAGTGTGCCTTTATGGAATGGAGTGAATGTTGCTGGTGTCTCCCTGAAGACTCTGCACTCACATTTAGGGACTGATACAGATAAGGAACAGTGGAAAGAGGTTCACAAGCAGGTGGTTGAGAGTCCTTACAAGGTGATCAAACTGAAAGGCTACACATCCTGGGCCATTGGACTCTCTGTGGCAGATTTGGCAGAGAGTATAATAAAGAATCTCAGGTGGGTACACTCAATTTCCACCATGATTAAGGGTTTCTATGGAATAAAGGATGATGTGTTCCTTAGTGTTGCTTGCATCTTGGCACAGAATGCAATCTCAGACCTTGTGAAGGTGACTCTGACTCCTAAGGAAGAGGTCCATTTGAAAAAGAGTACAGATACACTTTGGGGGATCCAAAAAGAGTTGCAGTATTTTTTAAATTTTTTTATTATTATTTTTTTGAGATGGAGTTTCACTCTTGTTGACCAGGCTGGAGTGCAATGGCGCAATCTTGGCTCACTGCAACCTCCACCTCCCAGGTTCAAGCAATTCTCCTGCCTCAGCCTCCCGAATAGCTGGGATTACAGGTACCCACCACCATGCCCAGCTAATTTTTTGTATTTTTAGTAGAGAAGGGGTTTCACCATGTTGACCAGGCTGGTCTTGAACTCCTGACCTCAGATGATTCACCCACCTCAGCCTTCCAAAGTGCTGGGATTACAGGCGTGAGCCACCGCTCCCAGCCAGAGCTGCAATTTTAAAGTCTTCTGATATCATCCATTTCACTGTTTAGGCTACAACAGGATTTTAGTTGGAGGTTGTGCATGTTATCCCTTTTTCTGGTCTGTGATTACAACAGTAATATTAAGATGGACTGGGAAAAACATCAATTCCTAAAGTTAGAAATAGAAATGGTTTGTAAAATCCTACAGCTATATCCTAATGCTGGATGGTACTAATCCTGCGTAGTCCTAAACTGGTTAGTCTGAAATAGTTCTACTACCTCTGAGGCACCACTGCCAATGCTGCACACGTTGCAGTTGCCCCTTGAGCCAGATGGAGGTTTACCGTGTGTTATGTAACTTCCTGGCTCCCTCACTGAACAATGCCTAGTCCAACATTTTTTCCCAATCAGTCACATCCTGGGATCCAGTGTATAAATCCAATATTGCATGTCTTGTACATAATTGTTACAAAGGATCTTATTTTGTGAACTATGTATATCAGTAGTGTACATTACCATATAATGTAAAAAGACCTACATATAAACAGTGCAACCAACTATCCAAGTGTCATACCAACTAAAACCCCCAATAAACCTTGAACAGTGAAAAAGAATAAAATAAAAATAGAAGAATGGAAAAATATAGATCACACAATCAAAAGAAAGTAGAAGTGGCCATATTGATATCAGATAAAGTAAATTTCAGAACAAATAAAATTACCAGAAACCAGAGGAACATCATACAGTGATAAAAGAATCAATCCACCAATAAAATGTAGTAATCTTAAATGTGTCCGTACCAAACAATAAAGTTGCAAAATATGCAAAGCAAAAATTGATAGAACTGAAAGGAGAAATAGACAAATCCACAATTATAGCTAGAGATTTCAACACCCCTCTGTCAACAACTGACAGAACAACTAGACAGAAAATCAGCAAGGATATAAAAACTCCTATCTATCAACCAACAGAATCTAGTCAGTGTTTATAGAACACTCTAGCCAACAATAGCAAAATATGCATTATTTTCAAGTGCCCATGGAATATATGCCAGGATTACCAGGTTATCCTGGGTCATAGAACAAATTTAAAAGAATTTAAAAGAGTTAAAATCACGTAGACTGTGTTCTCCAACCAAAACGGAATCAAACTGGAAATCAATAACAGAAAGATAGCAGGAAAATCTCCATGCACTTGGAAACTAAATAACATTCTTTTAAATAATCACAGGGCAAAGAGGAATTCTTCAAGGGAAATTTTTAATACATTCAACTGAATGAAATAAAAATGCAGCATATCAAAATTTGTGGAATGCATTCAAGGCAGTACTGAGACAGAAATGCACAGCACTAAATGCATACATTAGAAAGGAAAAGTAACAGATGAATACTATAAGCTTTCACTTCAATAATCTAGAAAAAAAAAAAAAAAAAAAAAAACAGCAAAACAACCCCAAAGCAAGCAGAAAGAAGGAAATAATAAAGAGCAGAAATGAAATCTCCAGGCCCTGATGGCTTCACTGGAGAATTCTCCCAAACATTTATTTTAAAAAGAAATGAAACCAATTTACACATTCTCTTCTAGAAAACAGAAGAAAAAAGAACAGTTTCCAACTCATTTCATGAAGACACTATTACTCAAAACACAAAACCAGACAAAGACTGTACAAAAAAGATAACTAAAGGCCAATAACACTCATGAATATAAAAGCAATAATTCTTAATGTTAGCAAGTAGAATATAATAAAAGTACACACCATGATGAAGTGGGGCTTATTCTAGGGATGCAAGGTTGGTTCGTTGTTTTAAAATCAAAGACTGTAATCCACTATATTAACTGGCTAAAGAAGAAAAATCACAGGATCATATCAATCAGTACAGAAAAATACTGGAGAGAATTCAATACCCATTTATGATTTTTTAAAAAAAACTCAAAAAAATAGGAATAAGAGAGAACATCCTCAACTTGACAAGGAATAAAACACCTACAGTAATATTATACTTTAGTAAAAGACTGAATGTCTTCTCTCTAAGATGAGGAATGAGGCAAAAAATATCCACCTTCACACTCTTATTCAACATAGTGCTGAAAGCTCTAGCCAACGCAATATGGCAGCATATGAAAATAAAAGAAATAGATATCAGAAAGAAAAAAATAAGACTGACTGTTCCTACTTGCAGTAGACATAACTGTCTTTACAGAAAACCCCAAAGAATCTGCAAAAAAACAACTCCTAGAATTAATGTGAGTTCAGAAAGGTTGTAGGATGTAAGACAAACATACAAAAAGCAACTATATTTCCATATAGTAGCAATGAATACCAATAATTTAAAATGCAATATAACTTAAAATCACTCAAAAAATGGAAAACTTAGATTTAAAACATGTACTATAACTTTTATGTCAAAAACTATTCAATGCCAATTAAAGAAATCAATTATTTAAATAAATGAGGAAACATATCATGTTCATGGATTCAAAGATCCAACATAGTAAAGATGTTAATTCTCCCCAAACTGATATACAGATTTGACATAACTACTATCAAAAATCCAGCAAGACTATTTTATAGATATGGACAAGATTATTCTAAAATGAATACATGGAAAGACAAAAGAACTAGAACAGCTAAAATAAAAATAAAGTAATAGCAATGTGTCTACTTCTTTTCAAGACTTATAATATTGCTACCATAATCAAGACTCTGTGGTACTGGTGGAAGGAGACACACATAGATCAATGGGACAGAATAAAGACTGCAAAAATAGAACCACACAAATATACCCAATTCATTTTTGACAAAGGAACAAAAGCAATTCAATAAAGAAAAGACTGCCTTTTCAGCAAATGGTTCTGGAAGAATTGGACATCTATAGGCCAAAAAAAGATCCTTGACCTAAGTCTCACATCTTATACTGACTCAAAATCGAACAAAGACCCTTAAATATAAACCATAAAACTATAAAACTTTTAGGAAAAAAAAAAACTTGGGAGAAAATCTTCAGGATCCAGGGATAGGCAAAGAATGTTTAGACTTGTCACCAAAAGCATGATCCATAAAAGGAAAAAATGATAAATTGGACTTCATCAAAATTTAAAAGTTTGCTCTGTGAAAGACTGTTGCTGAGGGGATGAAAAGACAAGCTACATAATGGGAGAAAATATTTGCAAACCATGTATTCAAACAAATGACTATTATCTAGAATATGAAAAGAGTTCTCAAAATGTGACAGTTAAAAAGTAATCAGATAAGCAAATGAGAAAATTACATAGACATTTCATCAAAAAGGATATACAGATGACAAATAAGCAAATAAAAATATTTTCACATCAGTAGCCATTAAGGAAATGAAAAATTACCACCACAATGAAATATCTCTATATACATATCAGAATGCCTAAAATAAAAAATAGTGACAACACCTATCTGGGTGCAGTGGCTCACACCTGTAATCCCAGCACTTTGGGAAGCCAAGGCAGGTGGATCACTTGAGATCAGGCATTCGAGACCAGCCTGGGCAACATAATGAAACCGCATCTCTACTAAAGATGCAAAAATTAGTTGGATGTGGTGGTGCATGCCTGTAGTCCCAGCTACTCAGGAGGCTGAGGCATGAGAATCACTTGAATACAGGAAGTGGAGGTGCAGTGAGCAAAGATCATGTGACTATACTCCAGCCTGGGTGACAGAGTGAGACTCTATCTCAGAAAAAAAAAAAAAAAAAATAGTGACAACACCAAATGCTGGCAATGTTAAGAAGGAACTAGATCAAGGTTATGAAAAAACCTCCAAGGTTATGAAAAAACCTCCAAAGTTATGAAGAAACTGGATCACTCATACATTGTTGGTGAGAATGTAAAACGAGTACAAGCCACTCTGGAAAACAGTATCTCTAAAAACTAAACATACAACTACCATGTGACCCAGCAACTGCACTACCAGGCATTTATCCCAGAGAAATGAAGAGCTATGTTCACACAAGAATCCATATATGACTGTTTATAGCAGCTTTATTTGTTAAAACCCTGAACTGAAAACAACCTAGATGTCCTACAATGGGTGAATGGAGAAACAACTGTGAAATATTCATACCATGGAATACTACTCAGCAATAATATTGATACAATATAACAACTTCGATGAATTTCAAAAAAAAATGGACTGAGTTTTAAAAAAAAAAAAAGCCAATCTCACATTAACCTTTTATATAACATTCTTGAAAGGACAAAATTATAGTAATGGAGAACAGATCAATGGTTGCCAAGTGTTGAGGGAGGGAGGAGAGGAGGAAGGGAAGTGGGTGTGACTAAAAAAAAAGGCAGCACAAAGGATCCTTGTAGTGATGGAAATGTACTGTATCTTGACTGTGTCAATGTCAGTATCTTGGTTGTGATATTATACTCTAGTTTTGCAAGATGTTACTATTGGAGGAAACAGAGTAAAAAGTGCATGGACCGCTCAGTATTATTTCATGTGAATATACAATTAACTGAAAATGAAAAGCTTAATTGTTTAAAGTAACACTATTTGGGGGAGGGGGACTCATGTGGTGTGGAGATGGGAAAAATATGTGTGAGATTGTCAAGTGGACTGTGAGATGTCCAGAATTCCTGAATCTCCCTCTGCTCACCAAATGCCACCCTTTCCTCATTGTTACCACTTCTAAAACTTGCCCTACCCATCCCACATCACCCTTTATGGAC